CCCCAGGTGGGGGACCCGCGGTGGAAACAATGGAGCGCAACAAATCCAGCTGTGGACATTATCAGTGCTTAAAAAAGGCAAAGCTCAGGACTCTGCCTCTTTTTGAACGCAGGGAAGTGTAATATGGATGATTCAGCTGCCAAACCTGCCCATGTGCTCTGGGACAGCTCCTGGGGAGCAAAGATTTCAGATGGGTGGCAATATTTCAGCAGAAAAAAAAAAGTACTATGGCACAGTGGAGACACATGTCCTCCAGAAAGAGAAGTGCTTTTTTCAGTCTTTCTATCTTTTTTTCGCTCATGAATAGCAAATGATTGTTTGCTTTTAAACATAGGGCTGAAACTGTTATTGTTTTAATTAGAACAAGCCACAGTCACCAAATCTGAGAAGAATTTGTGACACAAGTGTGGTTAAAGCTATTTGAGTGCTTTCCATGTAGCTCTCCCTCTGGGGAGATGCAAGCTTTTTGGTCGGCTTTTGTTCAGAAAGCCTCAAATGACTGGGGTGTCTGATAAATCATAATTACTGGAATTATAAGCCTGGAAGTTGCGGGGTTTTTTTTTTTGTTTGTTTGTTTGTTTTTTTTTTTTTTTTTATGATTTCACCTACCTCTCGTCCCTGCATCAGCAAGGAAAAAAACAACAAACAGGTATCATGGAACATAAATATAATGCATTAATGCTGAACCAAGCACCCTTGAGCAGGGTTTTTAGCCAACAGCAGCAGAACCCCTGAGAAGCAGCCAGAACCCCCCATCTCTTCAGCTGGGAGCTGGTAGGGATGGGGGAAACAGCTCCTGCCAGCCAATTGCTTACTGCTGTGAAAAACTGCACTCTTTTGTTTAAAAGATGATAGTGAACACAAATAAGGAAAAAGGCAAAACTTCCTGGCACTCTAACGGCGTTTGGGGCCCCTTTTTGCTGGGTGCTGTGCAAGCAGAGGGAGATGCCGAGGCCTGGTGTCAGGCCTGCAGCGGGTGTCTGTCAGGCCTCCAGCGGGTGCCCGTCCTCCTGCCGCGGCCTGTCCCTCCCTCGCTGCCTCCTCCTCAGCCTGGGGCTCTGCCGGAGCCCCCCACACTGCTGCCCACTCTGCAATTCATGGTCCTGCTTAGTATAAACCTTTGTGAAAAATAAGCCCCTACATCTGCTGTATAGCACAGCCCAGAGGTCCCACACCAGCAATCGTAGGAAGAAATGCTCTCGCTGGTCTGGAATCAAACACGTGCTGGGACAAGAAGAGGGCTTTTTCCCTGATAGCATCACTGGCTCCCATCATTTAGTCATGGTCAGGGAATTTAAATATTTCCTGCCCTCCCAGTGTGAATACTGACCATAACCCTTGTGCTCTTCATGCACCACACCAGACTGATCCTTGGGCTTTGACTCCATCAGCACTTCAGCTAGCTCAAACCAAGGCTTTTAATTTCACCATATTAGGAAGAAAGAGGCTTGGCGGGTTGTTTGTTTTCTCCCCACAGTGAGTAGCTATTTTGTAATATTATTATACCAAAAAGCTAAATGCAAAACAGACCACGTAGCATGGCAACAACTGCTGTGGCAACCAGCTTTACCAAATACGTCTAAGGTTCCTGGGTAATTAACGTGCATTTACAACAATATTAAAAGTACAGAGCTTATTTGGAAAATCAGCTGAACAAAGTCTCCTGAGAACGTCATATCTGAGGCTTGTTATCTCAGCCCGGATTAAATCATGCTGTGTAAAATTCCTGTAACAAGAAAGGTTAGGCAGAGGTGCTTTGTCCTTATCGGTAAACAGCTGAAGCTTGCTTCCAGGTGGTCTGCTACAAACCTTCTGCAATTATTCTGAGTCTGCCTATTAAAAGCTCACGTGTTTGAAAAGACCTCTAGCTGCCGTTTTGACCCATTTACCTGTGGTTCTTGTCCTGGAGGAAGTGGTCTTTCTTTTATGTGATAATGGCAGTTGTTTGCATTTCCTGCAGCCAAAGCTGCTCAAAACAGTTTCAGGGGAAAAAAAAAAAAATCCTACTGAGGAAGCAAAGCATATTCTTCACCACTTTTAATTCATTCTTGAAGGACACTGAATGAGCACTGACTCCAAGCTGCCTGCCTCTCTCAGAAACAGCTCAACAAGCCCAGGTTGCCTGTCACCTGGGAACTCTTGTAGCAGAAAACCTATGTTCCTGATACCTTTTTCATCCTCGAGGCTTTCTGGCTTGTTTGCTCTTTCTCTCAGTGTCTGTAGAGAAGTTTACAAGAATAAAATGTTTGTGCTAAGCCAAATCTGTTGTTCTTACAGAAAATTTGAAAACCTGGCTTGTTAGGTAAGTAGCAATCACAAAGCTGGTGCTCAGTTTCATTTGCTCCCTCACACACACAGGCACTGGTGAGCTAATCTGAAAGGCTGACTAAATTAAACACAGGAGGGATCTCAGATCCTGGCTTCCTAGATGGAAAATTCTAGGAGAGAAGGACGAACCTTAAAGCACTGAGCAAAAATTACAGTGACTGCACTAAACTAGCTGAAATTGTTTTCAGGGTGGAATTAAAAAAAAAAAAAAAGCCACACAGACACAAACAAAAACCCTTGAAAAAGGAAAGAAAAAGAACGAAGGGAAAAGTATACTACAACAGCCGATGATATCAGAGAGTGCTTCTATTACTGGATATTAGTCACAGAAAAAAAAGGATTAAAGAGTCTCTGTAAGGAGAAATATGATGATATCATGTAGAAAGCTTTCTGTGGAAAGACTTTTGCACATAAGGAGGGTATTTCCATGGGGCACAAGAAGGCTGATTCAACTGTGTGCGACTCTGGTTTTGCCCTGCCGTATGTTTATAATGCTGATGAAATGCAATAGCAAACCAGGCCCACTGAGCATATATTTTATGTTCTGTATATGGCGCAGTAGCGTGCTATTCAGGATCTGACAGCACACATTGATTTCAGGATAGCCAAGCCAAATCCAATAAGCAATTCTTATTCTATCCCCATAGTGAAGGTTCGTAAAACTGCACAAAGAGTTGGTTCAGTGACATCTAATGCTTGCTCACAGGCTGACTAATGATAAAGCCAGGCTTGTGCTTTCAGTTTAATTAAGTAATGGGTGGTAAAGAATCCATAAAACAAATGGAAGCAGTAAAGCCATCTTGTAGTTAAACCCAGCATTTAATCCTTGTTTACACAGAGAGACAGGACATCTTACTCTTGTGGGTCATTATGCTTCATTTCATTCAGTGGGTCCTGAACCTGCTTCGTCACAATTAGTCACATTTATAGGAATGGGGAAGATGAAGGAAGGAAATTCTCCTGGTCATTTTAGGACTAAGATCCACATTTTCATATTGCAATCATTCTATCAATATAGCCACTTAATCCAGTGAGATCAGCAGAGCCTGAAGAACACAACAGTGGCAGAGTACAGTGTTGTTTCCTGTACCCAGATCTTTCTATTCTTCAGTTTATCATAACAATTCACCAACCTCTGACAAAAAATAATTACCCTCCTTCTACTCAGCTCTTCCCAAATGTAAAAAAAGGATGGTAGCTTGAAGCAACGGGGAAACAAAATTTATTCCTCTTTATTAAGAGCTATATTTTTCTCTGTTCTGTTCTCTTCTGAAAT